TCAAACTTAATTGATCAGAATTTCAATATGACGTGACCCGAGAAAACACCCAGAATAATTCTCGGATGACGTTTTCGGAACGATGGGCGATGACGTATCTGGCACATTAAAAAAAATGGCAAATAACTCCATGCTCGCTTGTCGCTTTGGGAGCAAGAATGCCTAGCCCAGGCGATCGCAATCTTGGGCTTCTTTTTGTTTCACTCGATGCCATCTTCAAATTGGCATAGCACGGGACCATTCATGCTGTATCAACACACTGTATGGTAATAAAGAACAGAAAATATAGATTAACTGTAACCTGAAAGACAGATAAACAAAATATATTGTTATTAATTGTCATTGTACTTAGAAAAGACCACCATGGTGGCCGAAACGTCGTACAGTGAACAGTAATTAAAACATATGTGGTTTGATTTAACACGATCAACATGAAAATCACAGGATAAATTTCAGGTTTCTGAACACATTTCTTGTCCGTCATATCTAGGCCGATGCACACAACTTGCATTTAAAGAATATCAGTGGAAAGAGACTCTGTCGAGCTAAAATAATGTTTGTTATTGTCGATAAATAAGCAAATTGTCTGTTATTCAAACATGTTTCTCAATAACTGAAGGAATCTTGAATCGGTTATGTAATCAAATAAACATGTGATAAGTTGTCACTTTCAATGCCAACTACAAAAATATTAGTTTTTGAATAATTTTTAACGTCAATGTATGTCATTATACATTTTTTGTGATCACCTGTACTAAATACAATATGGCGCCCATAATAAATAATAAAGTTGATGATTGAGGACAAGAGACGAAACGTCGTACTGATATTCTGATTATGACCCATTGTAGAGGCAATGTTAATGTGCAGTTTCCAGTTTCCACGTCAAAAATATAATAAGGAAAAAATAAATTTTGAAAATAATCGTCTTTTTTTCTTGTCCATTTCCGGTAATACTCTTAATTGCGAAATTTCCCAACTGCCAGTACTACTTATGTAACTAAGATAGTTACGAGTACATAGTGCCCAACTTTGGTCCCATTTAAGCGACTTCGAATCTCTTACCGTTTCCAAGATTGCAATGGTGATGGTAGAATTTAAAACCACCAGTATTTTGGCTTGCTCTTCAAAATGTTGTAAGGAGACCCTTACAAGTATATTCGGCCTCAAGACTGATCCCTCTTTTTTTTGCTTTAGGTTTAAAAAATACGCCACATAGTCTTTTTGATTAGAAACCTCAGTGATTGGTTTTCTTTGCTCTCCAAAGCATTGCCAATGTCCCCTACAGTAAGTTGCCCCTCTCTGGAATTGTCATTGGTGTAATTGGGTTCCATCTAATTGAAACACCGTTAACTGGAGGGGAGAACAGACTCAAAAAGATTTTTGTAATCTGATATTCTTAAAAAAACTGTTGATTCCGTATTTCAGTCTCTCTATACCTTAAAAAGTGTCAACACAGGTGATTGTGTCGCTTGCTTTTTTGTATATCAGTGATCGACCAGAACAAGTTTGGTAAAAAAATTTTCCAAATCAGCGACAAAAAATTTCGTTATACAGGGTGTTTCAGTTTACTGTTGCATACCTTCAAGATTCGATAGAACTTTTAAAATTAATGCATAAAGTCTATATAAACATGGGTTGAAAAATGCCTGGCTTCCGAAATACAGGGTGTTTAAATTTACTTTCTAAAATATTTCGAACAATATTTGATGTATAACAGTGAAAATTGGTATACAAGGGTTTTTTGATACGACAAAACGAATGGGCATAGTTCTACTGTAGCCGCTAGAGGGCGCTCTCTACCGTACCTGTAGTGCTTTTTGAATAAAAAAACTGATTATTCGCACTTTTCAACATAAACAAGCTCTCTCATGAATTTTCGTGATAGTTGGCCGTTTTTGAGATATTTCGATGTTTAAGGTTCGATGCATTTTTAATTATTTATGATAAAATAACGTTAAAAACTCAGTATCTAGATAATTTTCAGAAGTAGGCTGTGCCTGCAAATATTTTTGAAATTGAAAGCAGAATAAGGTTAAACGTCAATTAGTTGACAGTTAGTTTTGTTGTCTGTTGAAACCTGAAACGTTTTTTTGCAATTGTGAATGCACGAAATTTAGTTTCTTTTACCTTTTTTTTTGTAAGTTTTATAAAAATGCCATTTTTATTCTCCAATCAAGAGTTAGCGGATATACATTTTGTGTATGGCTTTGTAAATGGAAACGCAGCAGAAGCAGCCAGAGAATACGCACGAAGATTTCCAAACAGACGACATCCAACTCGCTCAGTATTTGTAAGAGTGCATCGCCAAATAATTGAAAATGGTTTTGGAAATCTCCAAAGGGATCAAAACATAAATGTTCGTCAGCGCAGATTTACCCGTATGATTCTGCGTGAGTTTGATAGAGATCCGACCACAAGTGTTAGGAGAGTTCCTGGTGCCTTGGGAATTTCAGCAAGCCATGTTCACCGTGCTCTTAGAAATGACCATAGACGTCCTTACCATTTGCAACCTGTGCAAGGACTACAGCCAGGGGACGGAGAACGAAGAATCACATTTTGTCAGTGGATTCCTGATAGAACTGATAATAATAGGGAGTTAAGTTAAGTAACGTTTTATGGACCGATGAGTCGTGCTTCACTAGACGTGGAGTGCTAAATTTTCATAATCAACATATTTGGTCGCATGAAAATCCGCATGCAGTTCGGGGAAGAAATTTTCAGCATGAATTTAGTGTGTACGTGTGGATTGGTATCTACCGTAATCGACTATTTGGACCCTACCTTTTGCCTGCAAGGTTAAATGCTGCGACCTTCTTGGAATTTTTAAAGGCTGAACATGCAAATATGTGGGATGAAGTTATGTTAGATTTAAGAAGATTGGCCTGGTTCCAGCTTGATGGTTGTCCAGCTCATTATTCGAGAATAGTTAGAAACTGGCTGGACGAAAATTATCCAGAAAGATGGATCGGCCGTGGAGGACCAGTCGCCTGGCCTCCACGATCCCCTGACCTAAGTCCATTAGATTTCTTTCTGTGGGGATTTCTAAAAGAAAAAGTTTACCACACTCCCGTAACCACAAGAGATATGCTAATAGACAGAATCAGGAATGCATGTGATGAAATAAGGCCTTATTTGAATAATGTGAATTGTGTATTGAACAACTGGGTTTACATTTCGAGCAACTACTTTAGATTTTGTATGTTTGTCATAGCTATCCAATAGCATTTTAGTTGTAAATAATTAATTTAATTTGTTAAAAATAATATTGGAAAATTAAACAAATTAATATTCTATTTTTTGTGTTTATTTGGAGCTATTGCTGTGTTTAAAAACACAATCTAAACGATCGTCTTAATTACTTGTAATGCCCAAATCGAAAATGTAAAAAAAATATTATTTTCCCATAAATAATTAAAAATGCATCGAACCTTAGAAATCGAAATATCTCAAAAACGGCTAATTATAACGAAAATCACGGGAGAGCTTTTTTATGCAGAAAAGTGCGGAGAATCGGTCCTTTTATTCAAAAAGCAAAAAATTGCACCAAGAAAAAATTTTCGGTCATTTGAATACACTACAGGTACAGTAGAGAGCGCCCTCTAGGTTCGTTTTGTCGTACCAAAAAACCCCTGTATACCAATTTTCACTGTTATACATCAAATATTGTTCGAAATATTTGAAAAAAAAACTATTTTAAAAAGTAAATTTTTTATGCATTAATTTTAAAAGTTATATCGAATCTTAAAGTTATGCAACAATAAACTGAAACACCCTGTATATATACGTAGTCTACAGTATTCATTTCTTTCATTTACAAATTTTATGCAATATTCATTTTTTTCCAATATTTATACATCGAAAACATGCTTATTTGCATTTTACGTAGCAATGATTTCCACAGGCGATGACGTGTTGAAAATAAATAGTCGTATCCTTTGCAATTTATCAGATGTCCGCTTGATTAAATTAATGTAATGTATATTTGGGAGTATATGCATTGCAGCTTTATTTACTTAATACTATACTAATTTTTCGCATTACTGTTGTGATAATATTCCGTCTTCACTTATTTTTATTTCTGGTACAAGAATGGGTATTTTCATAGTTTGCTCCACAGTTCTTATTTACTAATTTCGTAATTTTATTCTGATAAGTAGAAAAGAAGTCCAGAAAAATTAGTTTAAAAAAATAAAAATATTTCCGTATAAAATTTTCTTTGGCCTAAATTTTAGGCTAGGAACAAGATATCGAGATGCGGGTTTCTCGAACTTGTTTGGACATCATTTAGGTATTTTTTATAAAAATACTTCCAATGCATTTGTTTTTCTTTTTTGAAAAAATTAACCGTTTCTGTCGGAATGTCGAAAAAGGCTCTCTATCGGCCACATGTGAAACTAACAAAACTTCAAATAATATAACATTTGTAGCCTAAGAATAGCTCTTTTCAACTATCCAAGTTTATCAAAACTATCTCAGCTGTTCCAAAGACACCTCTTTCTCCCTCGTGTTTTTTACGGAAATCTTTGAATACCCCCACCACTTTATTTTTAGAGATACAACAAAAATTGTCAAACAAAAAAGGTTCATATTATCCTTGAATGTTAACAACACGTATTTTTTTTAGATTCAAGATTGCAGTTACGCCCCGTTGCGGGCATTTGAGAAACTTGGAAATATTTTCTAGATTTCTGTCTTGACCGCTTTAGTAATAACTGTCGCCGCAAGCGATGGATAGGTTCCGAGATACAGTACCTCGAATTCTTAGTTATTATTATTTGCCAAAAGAAAATCATTAAAACGGGTTTGGCCTAGGAATGGGCACTCTACTAATGGAAAGTCTGGCTCAACAAACTGTTGACGCTTTCGAGATGGAGGTACATAATTCTCAACTCTTTAACAGATCAGCTAAGCTTTTCCAATCAGTTACTCTATTTTGGTTTGCCCTAAACCAGTTTAATGCTTTTCCAGTGAAAAGATCTATAACGGAGTCAAACAACTGTATTTCAGTTACTTCATTTTATCTATATTTTAATCTGTATATACCTACTTATCCAACGTCTACAATGTAGATCTTGCTGGATCAATAAATGAACCTGAATTTTCTTGGTTTCAGCGTGTCAACTAGTTGGGAGCGGTGTTTACGCCGTATTCGGTCCATCGGACCCTATGCTGGGCGCACACATCCAATCCATCTGTGACTCCCTGGACATCCCCCATCTGGAGACCCGGCCTGACGCAGACGTCCGTGATCTGGCGCATCGTCGCGAGTTCTCCATCAATCTTCATCCAGCACACCAGCTGCTTAACAAGGCCTTCCTTGATGTCATGAACTTCCTCAACTGGACCAGGGTCGCCGTTATTTACGAGGAAAAATACGGTAGGATTCAAGCTGACGACTGGCGAACTTGATACAAAGATGAATCATTATTATAAACTAAAAGCACTTCAACACATTCCATACCTCAAAAAAAGAGGCTACTACAGTCCAGAAAAAAGAACTACATGTCTAAAGTTTGCTAAATGTGGAGGGTTTAACTTCCATAATTTCTTTTCTGTTATAGCTTTCCCCGATTTATCAGTATGGGTCTAAAAACGAACGCAAAAAATTCGTTATTCAGTTTTTATTATCCGTTTTCCCCTTATTACTTTCATCCATATACTCAAATCATTTGGTAGTTTTACCTAGAAAGCTTTCGGGAATTTCAAATTACGACCTGATCTTTTCAAGTGTAAGCTTTGCTAATCGCATTTTTTCTGCTCATGCTGCCCTATTGGAAAAACGGTGCACAGTGACAGCTTTTTATAATATTCGCATCGACTATTTCAAATGTTTAATTCAGTGATTTCTGCGTAGGCCATTTTTCCGATACGGCGATGCGAACGACAAGACACGAAGTGATAAAGTAAAAATTCGGAAAGTACGTGGAAATATCCAGGGTATCCATAAAGTATGGATACAACAAATTATTTCGAAAAATACGTGTCCTAGCGAAAAATGCAAAACAAATATTATTTTTCAGGATATCGGCAAGGTTATTGCAAAGTGAAAGTTGATTCTCAAGCTTTCGATAAACTGTTACCGTCATCCGAGGATAGTTAAGTGAGGATGGTGCTAATTGTTATTATGAAGTAAAACGACAGATATGACCAGATTTATGAATAAGCGCAAATATTTGTTGAAAACATGAAAAAACTCGTAGCTATGTGTAGATGGACGATCTAAAATGACCTAGAATGTCATAGCCCACGTCATGGACAAAGATATACATGAACGTAAAATTTCCCGCAATTACATTTCCGGTATAAGAAATAGAGGTGTCTGTTTCAAAATACTGTCTCGACCTTCAAATGACCTTAAAAATCATGGCCAAAGTCACGTTCAAGGTCACCATTATTCCCCTTTCAAACCTGACAACTTTATTCCACATGTTTCTCTAGAAAATGCATTTTGGAGATATTTTAATGTATAATTTTTTAACATCCTGTACAGAAATACTGATGTTTAGAGTTTTCCTAAAATTTACATGATAAAACTTCCTAATCAATGAATCAATTAACGATTTTCCGAATATTCGTATTATTTGCGCTCTGAGGTCGAAATTGTTAACTATACTGTTCGTACAAAAGATTGTTGAATAAATTACAGTGAATTTAAAAAAACGATTAAATCCTTATTTGAGTCGATAGAACGGTCGATATAATTTAATGTTTAAAGATTATTTCATGTAAATGTTGGTCGCGGCTCCGCTTTAGATGGCCCATGCGCAAGGTCCAATTTTGGCACACTCTCTCCAACATATCGGCCGGTATCTCTCGAATAAATGCTTCAATATTGGCTTCCAGTGCGTCAATCATTGCTGATTTATCCCTGTAGACATAAGCCTTAACATGGCCCCACAAGAATTGTCCAACGGCGTTAAATCACACGATCTAGGCGGCCAATTGACGAGCCCCAAACGTGAGATAAACTGTTCACCGAACTTGCCTCATTGTTTCGTGTGCCGTGTGGCATGTGGCACCGTCTTGTTGAAACTACATGTCAGCCAAGTCCAGCTCTTCCATTTTGGGCAAAAAAAAGTTTGTTATCATCGCACGGTAGCGCTCGTCATTCACAGTTACGTTCCGGCCATTGTCGTCTTTGAAGAAGTACGGCCCGATGATGCCACCGGCCCATAATCCACACCAAACAGTGCTTTGTTCGGGATGCATTGGTAGCTCTTGCAATGCTTCTGGCTAGTCTTCACTCCAGATGCGGCAATTTTGCTTATTAACGTACCCATTCAACCAGAAATGAGCTTCGTCGCTGAACACAATTTTTCGATAAAAATGTGGATCTTCCTCCAACTTTGCCAGCGCCCATTCACCAAATTGGAAACGTTGTGGGAGGTCGTGTGGCTTCAATTCTTGCACCAGCTGTATCTTATAAGGTTTTACACCTAAATCATGTCGCAAAATTTTCCACCTAGTGGAGTAACAGAGGCCCAATTTTGATAGTAAAATTCAATCATTTGCAAGCGTTGTTCGTTCGTAAGTCTATTCATGGTTAAATTATAGACCAAACTGAACAAGTTTGACAATGACACAAGACACGATTCACGCGTCATCTGTCAAAAACAATGTTACCAAAAAGATACTAGCCAAAAATCACCCATTATTTGTTAAAAACGCTGAAAACGCATACAAGAATTAAGACAACAATTTAATAACTTTGATTCTAGATCTATAAATGCTATTGCGATTTAACAACGTGGCGCATGGAATATTCTTAAATCGTGATAAAATCGAACGATGTAAAATCAAAATTATTAAATTGTTGTTTTAATTCCGTTTGTTATGTGTACTACATACTTTATAGCTATGAATTTTTCCACGTTTTCAACAAATAGTTTCGCTTATCCATGAATTCAGTCAAATATGTCTCTTTACTTTTGAATTTTTGATTGATTGATTAGCGCCACTATCACTTAACTATCCTCGGAAGATGATAACATAGCTTATCGAAAGCTTAAGAATGGAGTTTCAAGAGCACACCTTGCCTGCATCCAAAAAAATAATCTTTTCAACTAAGTAGTTGTTGACGACAATGATTACGTCCTGATAATTTAGCTAATATTGTGGGTGCTAAAGTTTCTTATGCAGTCAATGTCTCGTATTCTTCTGTCTCGGGTAGTGATCAACTATGTTAGTCAAATCTAGGAGTAACTGAGAAAAGTCCGTGGCTAAAAACACAACGTTAAAAATTCTTATCTGGCTAAGAATTAAGCATATGTGTTAAATTTTCAATCAGAAGAAATACTGTTTAGTAAAAATATGGAAAGGCTTGTTAAAAACGGATCTTTACCGGAAAAGTTAATTCCAAGGTTTGAACAAAACACCCAGAGAATCAAAATGAGATAATCGAAAATACGTCTGTTCCAGGTTTGGTGAAACTTCGCGAGCTAGTACGCACACCGCACAATCATAACCTGGACATCCATTTAAGACAGGCCAACCCGGACACCTACTTTGCGATTCTCAAGGAAATAAAGGCAAAGGAAATTCATAATATCGTGATCGACACCAAACCGTCAAAAATGCATTATTTCCTCAAAGGGGTAAGTTCTGGAAATTCGTACAACTTTGAAGCTAATGACATAAATCTAGGTATTAGTGCCTTCATACACCATTGCGAAAGTTATAAGGCCGAGGGATATTTGACACGTAGTGTTCTACAGGTGAATTTGGTAGTTTCAAGCTAAGTGGCTAATTTGATATATTGTTGCTTGTATTATTTAGAATGGTTCCAATATTACAGCTTTGAGACAACATCCAAATCGGCCTCTAATACGGAGCGTTATTCAAAAGTCTGTAAACAGTCAAATATATTGGCAACTAGTGGACCGGTGTTCACTAAATTTTGAACAGGGAGATAGTCGGTCATTCCATGGTCATTCCCGATCGGATAATTCTAGCAGCGCTGTTGCCAAATTTTCGATCTTATGGGAAACTCTACTTTTTTAAATTTAAATTAAATATCACCGTCTCACTGGGAATGATTGATTATCCCCCTATTAATAACTAGATGAAAATTGGCCCACTAGTTTCAAAAATATTTGACCGGTACTGGACTTTTGAATAACCCTGCATATTAGAGGCGGATGTGAATGTTGTGAGATGGGTGTCCATCTCAAAGCTCTTTCAGTACCTAGGGGTGTCAGGATGTACATACTCAGTGATAAAGTAAGCAATTTGGGGTTAGAAAAAAATTAATTTCAAACATTTCCCTTTTGTTACTAAACTAAGTCGTATAATATTATATTCCAAGTAGGGTCCTAAAAGTTAAATAGCTATGGGATGACATACATGTTTTGAAAATAACTTATGTTTTCATAAATTTGTAAGTCATAGGTTACGCGGGTGCTCTCCTCCGTAGTCCTCTATGAAAGCAGAACCTGTAAACTATCACATAGCTATAAATTTTAGCACCCTACGCGAAATATACGATTTAGTTTAGTCGTATCTATACAACCCCCTCAATCCACATGCATACAAGTTGCTTCTTATATTATGGAAACACTTTCACGCTCGTATTTTATTGCCTCACATTGTTTACTAGTTATAGGTATACTATAACATCTATTAAAATGTTAATATATCAATTTATCTTAATTACTTTGCTGTTATTGTAATTTGTTATTTTATACTTCCAAGTTCAGTCCATTAATTACTCTATAGCAACTAAGGTCTCCTTCTTAGGTTGTCACGTCCTTATGGGACGTTGCCGACTGCCATGGCTAGAATAGTGGTCACGCTCTGCTGTTAAACCTTTTCTTTGCCGTACATTCCTCAACCACGATAGTTTCTTTCGATCTACCCGCTTCTTTCTTTCGATTTTGGCGTTTAACCGAAGCAACTCATATCCTCTTCTTATACGTATGTTCAAGATACTCTACGTCTCTTAATGATAGCTTTGACCTTTCAGGAGCTACTTGCAATATTGTACGATTTAGTTTAGCAGCGAAAGAGAAATATCAACATGGAATTCAAATCTTTTCTAACCTAAAATTACTTATTTGACCGGCCAGCGTCGTCACTCATCAGGCTTATCCCTACAACCCCCCTCAATTAACTCCATTATCATGCATACAAGTTGTTCCCTATATTGTGCATGTACTTTCACGCTCGTATTTTTATTGCCTCACATTCTTTAGGAGTTATATGTATAGCATCTATTAAAATGTTAATTTATCAATTTATTTTAATGGCCTTGCTGCTTTTGTAATTGCATCATATACTCTTTGTTATTTTATACTTCAAGGAGCAACTATGGTCTTCTTCTTAGGTTGCCATATCCTTATGTGACGATGCCGACTGCCATGGTTACAATATCCTTCGGATGAATACGGTCTCCTATTAAACCTGTCTATTGCCGTAAATTTCTCAAGCACGAGAGTTTCTTTCGACCTATCTATTTGTTTCCATCGATTTTGCCATTAAACATTTCCGAAGCAACTCATAACTTGATCCTCTTCTTATAGGTATGCCCACGATACTCTACATCTCTTAACAATATAGAGTATGCTTCTAGTATTACTAGCTGAATATTTTTGCGAATCTTAACTCCCAAAAAGGCAACGCAGCTGCTACTCGCTCTTGTACACACTCACATGAATTCCAAAATAGTCCAATAAATTTAAATCAGCCTGTCGACGTTGTAGTTGTATCTTCAGGCATCGTTATTTTTTATAACGAAGACTAACCAAAGGTAAACCCAGACCGCACGGTTATGACAAGCAAGTTATACTGACAGTAACAAGCATAAATGTGGAAGACCCATACGTTGACGAGCAAATCTTTAAAGCGGAGAGACTAAGCAAAAAACATAATATGCTAATCCTTTATAACGTAAGCGCAAGCCTAAGGTTTTGTTTTATTTAGTTTTGAAAATCAAATCAGATAGGTGAAGTCCTCCATTCTCCGTACACTAAGCAAACCGATTTCTGACGTTTTTCATGACCCTTTTCTGGGTGTTGGTCTTCAATCTTGTAGGCTTGGATGGTTCACATAAACATGGGATTTCAAGAAACCCGATAGAAAAATCGCAAGGGGCCAAATCGGGAGAGTGGGCTGGCCACTCCAAATCGACCCTACTCGAGATGAGGCGCTCCGGTAAGCGTTCCCTCAAAACAGCCATCGATTCTCTTGAAGTGTGTTCCATTTCACCGTCATATCGGAACCAAATATCCCGTATGTCCAACTCATCTAGCCGTGGCAAAATATGCCTGTAACATGCTGACATACTCGTCTGAATTCACTGTCACTGAAATTTCATTTTCCGCAAAGAACCTGGAACCAATAATCCCAGCTGAGGAAATTGTACACCACACTGTGACTTCAGGTTTATGCAATTGTGATGCAATTGTCGAGGATTCAAAAATGAAAATCAGGCGCTCGTCCGAGAATTGAAGTAACGTAAATGAAGTTCCTGGCCGACAGAGCTGTGGCAAAACTTTATAGTCTCGCCTCTCGAACGAGACCACTAGCACTCCGTTACGACAGCAACCGACTAACTGACGAGCATTTAAAAAAAAAGGAAGCCATGCTGCCACACCCTGTATATATCTGCGAGGGAAGTAGATGTATGAATGTAGTTTAGCTTTGACCCGCCAACAACCGTAAAAAGACCTACATTTTATTCATAATAGCTGTGTTCAGAGCCAACTATGGTAATCTGGTATGTAACCTTGCGTTTGTTGGCAATTGATAAATCAAGTCTTCTCCAGCACAAACAATTTTATTTGTCTCTATACAGGGTTTCACAGAATGTTGTCAGGAACGTTTAAAGACAAGTTCAGTACATGAAGATATGAAAAAGGTTCATAAAAGTATAGGGTCGGTTATCCGTTTTTATGATTGTAAAACGTCTTTGTAAAAATAGGTACCGTTTTCTCAAAGCCATATTGTTGCTGCTTGGAAACTGTCTTTTGGAATTTTGTATTCTCGTAGTTAAAACTAGTGCCAGCTCGATGACGATATTTTATTAACGATAAATGATTTCATTAGTAATTATTGAAATACTTGTTTATTTCATCAACCATGGAAACGGAAGGAGTTTTCGGGTAGAATTATTATAATCATAATAAGCCTTAAGACATTGACATTACTTATAAAGACAGTAGCGTGCTATTTTTTGCTAAACATCACACACGGACACAAACAAGTGCCGTCAATTCAAAGGGTTCCCTACACCATGCGGGAGGTAACATTCAGGCATAAGACCGTAAGACGAGTGCTGTTGTTGCTCGACATCAACAAAGTTTCTGGTCCGGACTTGATTCCTGCCATTGTACTGAAGAGGTGTGCAGCGGAGCTTGCTCCAGTTTTTTCGCGTCTCTTCCAGATATCTTATGAATCCGGCACCTTCCCAGAAAACTGGACATTTGCTCATGTCCAACCCATCCCAAAAAGAGGATCTAAGGCCGACCCTTACAACTATAGGCCTATAGCTCTGCTTTCTGTTATAAGTAAGGTGATGGAGAGGTACATAAATCGCGAGCTTCTGGACTACGTCAAAGGTCACAGCTTGATTAGCGACAGGCAGTATGGTTTCCGGCACCAACGATCCACAGAGGACCTCCTAGCCTACGTCACGCAATTGTGGAGTAAGCTCATCCAGTCTTATAGTGAGGCTCATGTCGTTGCTCTTGATATCACGAAAGCGTTCGATCAGCTGTGGCACGCTGCCCTCTTAAGCAAACTTCCATCCTATGGCCTTCCAGAACAGCTTTGCAGATGGGTGGCTGACTTTATCTCTGGCCGCAAGATATCCATCGTAATTGACGGGTTCTCCACTTCATCCCACAACGTCAACGCGGGTGTTCCCCAGGAATCGGTCTCGGCTCCGACACTGTTTCTCATACATATCAACAACCTCCTTTCCTGCACGATCAACCCAACCCACAGCTTAGCTGATGACAGCACTCTACATGCAAGAATTCAGAGTGACAAGCCGATCTCTGCCGCTGAGCTGGAAAGAAGAAGACAAGCGACGACTTCCTCTCTGACAAGAGACCTGGAGGCTATCACTGCTTGGGAACGCAACAATCTTGTACAGTTCAATGCTTCCAAAACACAGTACTATAGTTTGATGAAAAAAAAGCGTCCTGGCGCTCATCCGGTTTCGATGGATGGCCGAGATCTGCCAAAGAGCCATTCCTTTCGGCTGGACGGAGTCCAGATCACCGAGGACCTGATCTGGCACGAACACATCTCGTCAATAGCAGCAGCTGCTGGGAAAAAGCTAGGCTATTTGTTTAGAGCTAAGAAGTACTTTTCTCCGCATGACCTTCTCACACGTTTGGGGTGCTGCCGCCCCGACTACATTGTCCATGCTCGATGCTGTCCAGAGGAGGGCGGTCCGACTGATCGATGACTCCTCTCTAACAGACAGTCTCGGGACCATTTCACACCGATGGGCCGTTGGCGATCTAGCTCTCTTCTACCGCTAACCTAGAAGGCTTTGCTCCTCAGAGCTTTCCTCGATGTTGTCGCCGCCTGACTTCGGTCTCCCATCCTAAAGGTGTCGAGCTTCCTACATCCAGAACTGGCCGATACGACTTCCTTTGTCCTTAGTGTATCGAGATTGTGAAGGGTGAGACTTTTCCCAGTTTTACCAACCTTAGGCAGTTTATAAGTCGGATTTAGGCTTTGCCTGCGCGGCTGCTTCGTAAAAAAACTATGAGCGATATACTAAACAGCGAACACTCGGGAATGTCCGAGTTTTCTTCGGAAGAGGAAATGAAACCCAAAAACCTAAATTTTGTGGAGGATATAGTGCCACAATTTGACAGCAATGAGTTTTTGTAACAGTTTCGAGTAAGCAAAACAGTCACGGAAAAAAATTCAGTGAAATTCTGTGGTAGTAACCATTTTACATATGAGGCAGCGCCATATGGAAAACTACCTCCGCATAAAGAAGCCTGTATGTTTTTATAGTTTGCTGCATATCAAACATCTATCTCCAGGGATGTAGCTGATAAGTTCAATGTTCCCGTGGGTACCCTGCATGCAGTTATATTCATATTGACCAACATTTTGAGGAGTCTGGCACCAGAAATCATAAAATGGGTAACAAAAGTGAGAAAGATGCAGGACAATGCTGCATTTTTACAATAAAAAGTATATTTCCTGGAATTCTCTGTTCTCGATACGCATTTTAAAATATAAGCATTCATGCTTGATGCAATCTCAAATCATTTTAAGCTTTCAAAGTGATTCGTGCTCAATATTTTGTTTATTCGCCCTGTAATGGCAAAAATACTTCCTGGATTCAGTGTGAAAAATCTGAACATTAGAGGACAAAAGTTTCGAAAACCATAATTAATACTATTTTTTTGTGATCTTTCCAAGATTCAGTTATTCCTACCTGTGTTGCTAGTTGTCATGATGATCAACTTTGCCATCTCAGATATTTATATTTATTTGTATTTCTGCTTGGAGTATGTCTCAAGGTCAAAAACGCGGCTTGACTTATGATTTTCCCTTGATGAGTTTTTGTATTTTCGTAGTCTCATTTCTTTTTGGGAATTCTGTGAAACTTATATCTAAGTGAACATTTATGTCCATACTTTTTGAATGAGAATTAAATGGGTACTACTGAGTAAATCTACTTTACCTTTTTTGCTGCTGTTATTTCTTCTAGGGAGTTTTTCTAGTTATTCCCTCTAGAGGAAAATTCAATCACTTCCGGGCAATTGGGAAATAAATCCTAGATCATTCTGGTTTACAGAGAATCAAAATACACGTACTTTTCCAAATTTGTCTTAACTCATGCTGAAAGATATTACATTCGAATAATGATTGTACTTGATTTCGAGCTGACAATTTACTAGACAATAATCTGCTGACTTGACAGTTAGCAAACAGTCAGAAGTTTCTGTACGAACAGTGGATCAGTTGTCAGTAATCGGTCCAAGCTTCCAGAGCGAACTCGTAATGTTCTCATGTACGCAATCTACTCTTCGTCATTGTCTGTCAGAGCGGTCCGTATGATCTTTGCTCTTGGTTGAAGTCTTGTAAGTCAGTAGGTCTGTCAGGTCTGGTTGCCCAGATACCAAACAAAGTCAGGGAGAAAGAAGGGAAGAAGAAAGGAAGGAAGGAAGGAGGGCGAGCAAAGAAAAAAGAAGTGCATCAATTTGAGGGGTACCTTGGCATTGCTAGTTAGTATTCGGCAATTTTAAATTGATCCTAAAATTAATTTTGGGATTGGTTGTTGAAGAAAAATTATAATTTTGGTTGGACCAAAAATCGCACGATTTAATTTTGTTCACAGTGCGAGGCGCGGCCTTGGGTGCTTGCGAACTTGCTCGACTGTGTAGTCTACTGACTCGCACAACAAAGTCATGCGATTCTGCTTGACTTTAACGTAGCTGCGCTTGCTGTTTGATGTAGTCCCTTAGGTAAGGATGTCCAGGTCTCTGTGAAGGGTCTTGTTGGAAACATACCATGGGGCGTTAGTGATTGTACGCAAGGTTCTGTTCTGCAAAACCTGCAGGCTACGAAAATGCAGTTTGGCGAGAAAACACCAAGCCGCACTTGCGTAAGTGATCGCTGGTCTAATAACAATCTTGTATAGCCAAACTTTGTTGATCAAACTTAATTTTGATGTTCTACATAGCAAAGGGTAGAGTTGCCGAAACGAGATTTGGAATTTAGTTTTTAACGCTTCAGTGTGCTTATGCCAGGTTATCCCCTTGTCAAGAGTGACACCGAGATACTCAGCAGAGCTTTCCCATGGTACCCGAGCTCCATTCACTGAAACCTCAGACGGGGCGCCGCTACGTTTTTTAGTACAATGAATTGCCTGCGTATTCGAATGATTAATTTTGATCTGCCACCGATTCGCCCATTCCAATACCTCGTTCACTGTACTTTGCAGCCTGTCGTGAACTAGATTCCCAGAGCACGGCTTGGCCACCAGAGCAGTGTCATCAGCATAGAGATCGATTTCACAGTTGCTGGGGCAAGGGACGTCATGAATAAAAAGTGAATAAAGGACCGGTCCAAGTACCGAACCCTGAGGGAGAGCGGCTTTGATGGGCCATGTTGTCGACAAAACGTTATTAATGTTGATCCGAAATTTCCTACCCTCGAGGAAGGATTTCAAAAGTTTTAGGACCCAGAAGGGGAAGCCCTTATGGATCAATTTGTGGAGAAGGCCGTTGTGCCACACATTATCAAATGCCTTTGAGACATCCGGAAGCAAGATGCCGGTACATTCGTTACGGGTGAACCACCTGGTTACTCGTTCAACAAGCCTTGTGGCCTGTGGCTCCGTACTATTCTCAGACCGAAAGCCTAATTGCACGTCAGGAATCACATTGTGGTCTGCCGAGAAATTTTCAAGGTGACGTAGAATCACCTTTTCAGCGAGTTTAGAAGGAGCTGACAGTAGACTAATGGGGCGGTAATCCTGGGGGAATATCGAACCCACCTTCTTTGGAATCATTATGACATCAGCGGTCTTCCACGCCGTTGGGAAGTGCTGGGTCCTTAGCATGGAATTGATTATTGCCACGAGATAAGTTAAGGACTTCCGCGAAAGTAGCTTCAGCGCGTTATTAGTGATTTGATCCTCTCCAGGTGCTTTACGCACCTTGAGGTCTTTAACATGACCTTGGAGCTCACGCAATCTATAGTCAGTGACGTTTCAGTGACAGCTAACTGAATAAACTAGGTCATGACTTGTCGCCGCATCAATTTGCACATTTCAATATACGAACATATTTTTCCAGATCCTCCAACTCCAGATGAACGACTACAAGTACCACTACCTGTTCACCACGTTTGATATGGAAACTTTAGATTTAGAAGACTTTAAGTATAATTTCGTGAACATGACTGCCTTTAGAATAGTCGATATCGATGACCTACACGTCAAAGAACTTCTCAGGGGCATTTCGAAGTTTCAAACCAACAAGAACGTTCAGCCTATCAATTCAAGCTTTATAGAGGTAAGTCACATTATTTGATTCATCCTAGTAATTGAACATATTGAATATATCTGCCTGGTTTGATTACTTTTAGCTTCCTTAAATTTCAAAAGGTGGCAATTCTTAGACAGGCCTCGTGCACAATTTTCAGGATTTTGGTGGAGGTTAAAAATGTGCCGTGGAAGAGCTTTTAGGACCAACGTCTAGATTTAGTTCTGCCTTATTTGAATGCTGAATGCTGTATATAAACTTTGAAGAATCTTCATGATTTAATATTGATGAACTTTCCGTGACAGGTGACACCCGAAATTGCAAGTCTAGAATGTTCTTGAAATGTGTTTATAAAGGATCACAAAGTAAAATAAAAGTTACATTTCCAGTCACTTGACAGTACGTGCAATCTTGATGGCTTCAATATTAAATAACTCAGTAAATACAAAAAAACCTTTGATTTAATTATCTCATAGTTTTATTGTTGATTCGCCAAGTAACATGTTAGTTATTATTGTAGAAAGCATACTCACCATCAATAAACATATGTCGACTCAAACTGTTACGAGTATAAAGCATACATAAATCTTCTGTACTGCAAAACAAACAGCATTACGCTATTCAGACAAAATTTGGTGTTGTATATTAAAGTTTCAGACAAGTATATTTGCCATACAAATTATCTCATATGCTAGTTAAAAACTTAACATACTCGATTTGGTTAATTTAAGACAATAACTGCTCTAGAAACAATCAATTGGTTGTATACATCTAGTGGACACGCTCTATGGATTCCTTTCTGAAAAATGTACTAGAAAGGGAGGCAAAGTATTCTTAGGTACTCACATCCAAATTAAAGTTCTCATTGTATACTTGACGAAACATAAAGCAGCATTTAGTTTACAATTTAATAATCTCACAGCGGCAGGTAGATTCGGTCTGTAATTCCAGTTTATAAATTCCGAACATATATACCATGTTCAAGTTGGTAACATTAGCAATCCAGTCTGTGTAAACTTGGAAAACCGTGAGAGGAGTCGTATTTACAATTCATATACATCAGATGGTCATATCTAACGACAGAGACTACCCTGGATTCTCCCTCTTTCTCTCTCACTCTTCTGCTGATTGATTAACCGTTAGATTATTTCTATAGCAAGCTATTGCATTATTGTCAAGTACTGCGGCCGTTGTAATTGACTTTTTAACAGCAAAAAGAGCAGGTTCTGTTCGACTTGGGCTACGGTTGTGCCGGGACAGTCCTTCGCTAAAAAAGGTGTGTTGCCTGGAAAGGTTACCGGCTAAGTCCGAGCATAAAGAGTTTTTTTCCTACAGTAAGTCCACTATTCGCTGTTTGTAAATATTAATAACTTCTTTCTAAGCGCATATCGTGCAAGTAAAAAGTGGAAGCTCAAAACATGTCACCACAGCCCGTTGAAATAACGTTAATCATTTCAACAAAACTTTAATTAAATTTGGAGATGAAAGATGTATTACTAATCAATTTATATAGTATTTATCATTACGAACGTGAATATAAGTTCGTTTAAAATCTGATGTATTTCAAGCTACAGTAATTTCAAATGTACATCATTAATTTGTATATAATGAACCTGCTCATTACAGATCAGATTAAAAATGGTATACAACTCAAAACATTGCCCTGCGGTACAAAATTAGTGTTCAAATTTACTGCTCGGAGCGATGCAATAAATACGTTGAAATGTTTAACTGAACAACGCAAATAGTCGGTCGTTAATGCAGTGCTAGCTCAATTCAACTTTTGGAGATTCCGCATTTCTGATAGCAAACGAAAGCTGATAGCAAACGAAAGCTGATAGCAAACGAAAGAATCAATAAATACAGACTGAAGGGTACGGGCAAAGAATAGGGAATGTCACAATTTTTATTTTTTTAGTTTTCCATTATAAGCAAATCCTTGTATATGGTATTTTAATTCGTAATCTTTAGCCTTTAAAATAAGTACACAGGTAGCGCCAAAAGTACAAAAAAGGGTTGTTCAAAATGACAGTTGTAATTTTGATATGAGAATTTATATAAAGTTTTCGGTATAATAATTTGAAGTTGAATATGTTTTCTGATTTAGATAATGATGAAAATAATCAGAGTATTATTAACAAATCAACGAAAAAAAGAAAGAAAACTGGTAGAACCGAACACGTAATGAAAAAGTTGCGACTTTCTTCTCATGAACAAAGGGCACTGTGTAATTATTTTTCAAGGTTCAAAAGTTTTGAAAAACAAATGGAAATAGTCAAAGAAATATTATTAAATATTTCAATTCATTGGGTAGTGTCAATGAACAGAATGTATACTAAGTGACATATAAATCCGAACACCCAGTTTAAATGGTTTTATTTTAATAAAAGTTGGTGAATGTATTTATCTTATTGTAAATATCAAGTGAAAAAATTTTCAGCCTTATCAGTTGGACATTCCGGTTTTTATACTGCTTTTTTTTTAATTCACTAACGCTCTAAAAATGAATATTTCAGCCGCAGTAAAGAATCAACGTTGGCAGATTTTGGTTCTTGACATCCTTTACGATCGGTTACGATGCCTAGAGTACGGAGACCTGTACGATTTCGTCAACTCAATGAGTTTGATAGGGGCCGTATAGTGGGACTTCGGGAAGCTGGACTTTCTTTTCGGGCAATTGCAGTTAGAGTGCAAAGAAGTGTAGACACTGTGGTTAGGTGTTGTCAGGCATGGCTTCGAGAAGGCCGTACGCAAAGAGCAAGGGGCACTGGATGCCGCCGTAGAACAACAGACCGTGAAGATCGCCGCCTAAGATTATTGGCCTTAAGGGACCGTTTCTCCACTACCAGGTCCATTGCAAAGGAATGGTTTGCAGAACACGGAAGACCTATTGGCATGCGAAGTGTTTACCGACGAATGAGAAGTTTTGGCTTGTTTTCATACCGGCCACACTGGGTCCTCCCTTTAACTCGAGAATACCGACGTAATCGCCTTGAGTGGTGCATACAACGGTCACTCTGGCATCAGGAATGGAGCAATATTGTCTTTAGTGACGAGTCTCGATTTTGTTTAGGCATGCACGATGGTCGTGCCAGGGTTAGAAGGCGACGTGGTGAAAGGAGGAATCCACAGTTTTTTGTTGAAAGACATGTTCATCACACTGTTGGAGTTATGGTTTGGGGTGCTATAGCTTATGGTTCCAGGTCACCTTTAATCTTCATCAGAGGTAACATGAACGCGCAGCATTATATCCACGAGGTTCTAGAACCCCATCTTCATCTTTTACCCTATCTTGACACCCTGACAGATCCAACTTTCCAACAAGATAATGCCCGACCACATGTTGCAAGAGTCACATAAGACTGCTTTCAACATAATGATGTCACATTGTTACCATGGCCACCAAGATCTTCCGACTTATCCCCAATTGAGCACGTGTGGGATATGATGGGTAGGAGATTGCTCAATTTGCAACGTCCTCTAGAAGCACTTCGAGAGGAGTTGGTGGTTGCCTGGAATGAGATACCGCAGGAGGACATTGACCACCTGATCAGAAGCATGCCTAGGCGCGTTGGAGAATGCGTAGCACATCAGGGTGCATCCACACATTATTTAAGGTCAAAGGGCTTTAAAGCAGTGCAATCATTTTGAAATTTTTATCATTTACTTATTATGCTTCATTAAGTACTTATACAAAATTTTATTAAAATAAAACCATTTAAACTGGGTGTTCGGATTTATATGTCACTTAGTATATATTTGTCAGGACTCATAAATGTTTATAATGTGAAACGAAAGGAAATTTGAAGATGAGACTCACTTTCATACAGCTGCATACAGCCATAAAGTGAGGGTAAAAGATGAAGATATCAACAGTAATGTTATAAAAGATGTGGCTGGATGTGCAGCACTCACTGGACTCAAAGAAAAGGTTGAATATCTACAAAAAACCATAAAAACAACAGAGAAAACTCCAGTAGATCAAACAGAAAGGCATGAAAATCGTAGAAAAATTGCATCAGAGATTAAGGAAAAAAATGTAATCATATTAACTCATTTAAATGAAGATTGAGCCGTTACAGTTTAAAGAACAATAGAAAACTAAGATATGATTCAAAAACCAAAGATTCTGATAACTGAATTGGTCATTCCTTGTTTTTTACTTGTTTCAAAAACTTTCATTTGGTTTTTGTTCAATTTAAGTATGTTTAATAACTAAAAGGTCCAATGTCAACAACAAAATTATATTAGATATAAAACATTTAATTAGTTCTAACTAAAAGTTGCTGCTTACTTTGATCTCAATAAAAATGATATACTTTCAAACCTTCAATTGCATTTTTCTCAAAATCAGATGATTAGGTCATTCCTTGTTATTTGCCTGTACCCTTCAATTATCCTGAGTAGAACTTATTAAGGGCGTTACAAATTGTCAAAGTTTTTTAAAGTTGCAGAAACGTTACTTGTGATACTTTTGAAATAGTTTCCTTCAACAAGGATTTACGCAAATTTTTAAGCGTTGGTAAATGTATATATTTTTTGCATGTAGAATAAAAAACCTTCGCAGTCAAATTATTATTAATTGCAGAGGCTTGCCAGCACGACATAGATTGAAAATGACATTATTTATATCTGTCAAGTTATGATTTTATTTATTTACTGTATACGTTTGTTTCAGGCAGAAGCAGCGTTCATGTACGATTCCGTGTTCGTATTTGCAGTGGGGCTGCAGACTCTCGACCAATCGCACACCTTGAAAATACCAAACGTATCCTGTGATCAGGAACACTCGTGGGATGGAGGGCTTAGTCTAATCAACTACATCAATGCAGTGAGTCATTTTCCTTTCTTCATTCGTATTAAATTTTCAGAAAGGAAGGACAGTATTTCAAAATTTTTCAATATCTTATTTATATTCCCAAAATGTCCATCTTTATTGCTCGAAATTGATTGAGATTAGTCGAACTATAATCATTTGATCACTGTTACGGTAGCTTCAGCCTAGTTACGTTAATGTAGAAAATATATCAATGAGTCAAAGCTGTTGCTCCTTAGAAATAATAATAAATCATCATCATCCACATAAATTGCTTTGCATATCTATGCCTTTTTCCTGGAATTACAAGGTCTGTAAATTACGTAATGAGTCTTGTTTTTATTCAAATATCACCTTCAAAATACTTCCTTGTGAAGCCAGATAGCACCGGAGACGGTTCTTCCACTCCTCATAGCAGTGCTGAATCTGCGATACTGGAATAGCTTTGAGCTGGTCGATTACAACCGTTTGAATGTTTTCGACTGTCCCAAAGTGTTTCACAAAAAAAATCGGACAACCAAATGATCGAGCAAGTTCAAACTTGTACTGAAGGTGGATCAGATGTTCCCGTGTCTCCTCTCCAAGCCCGGCATCTCCAGTGTTGCTACGCCTCCAGCCTCATCACCTCATTTACAAACCTCGTATATTACCCAAACAACTTAGAACTCGTGGTTGTCTCATTTCATGACTTTCCTTATAAAAGTAGACCTGCAATCGATTTTCGCGCATACCAGTGTTGCTTCCGCTGGTTTCATACTTCAGCCAATACAATCTTTGGAGCTTTATGAGTGAACCACCCTGTATTTTACGGCTCTCAATTATGAATTTCGCCTGTGGCATTCGTTTGTACAACAATGTTATACGAAATAGGTTTCCTGAACAATGGTCACAGATCTAAGGAGTATATGCACTACCTTTCCAATTACCTGCAGGAATCTGTTTTTGCGATGTCTAGAAGATGCACATCTGCTGTCATCTTTATAAATATGCTTGATATGGCATATCATCCTATCACATCTCTGTCATAGATGCGAGAAACGGGCGTGAATTTCCTCCACGGAGGAGCATATATAGGTCTCTCCTGAGAGGGTTTCCAAATATTCCGATCATAGATGGTATCACTGTCACCAGACTTAATATTCGCACACATTATCCCATAAGTAGTTACGTATGATTAATGTTATTAATGCATGTAGTTGTGATTCACCTAATTGACATGCAGTCAGCTACCTGATATAGTAGCTATTAAAGCGGTAGCGACACTAGGTTAGCCTCCCGTATAAAGACTTAACAAAAAAAATTATCTCTTCTTGAAGGAAAAAAACCATTATGTTCTATGATGGTCTAGTCAAAGTTTCAATAAGTGACAACGTCGAAATTTAATCTACAAGATAAGTTTGCTTTGTGGTAAAAAATTATTCTAACAAAGTACTATCGTTTGCTGGTATAAAGTGTGTTTTGGTAAATTTGTTTGGCACTTATGGCACTAACTGACCACAGAACATGGATATCCTTCAGATAACGTCGTAAGCTAGCACTGCCTTCATTTACACTCTCACACTACGTGTAAGACTTTTCTTGGCAAATTCAAAACAAATTCTCTCTCTTCTGTATGTTGGGGTATGCATCAATTAAATACAATATCGTTTCCATGTATCCAGTAAGTGTACACTTTAATACTTATTTCTGTCGTACAAATATTAATGTTAGTTTTTAATCACACTGTACACGTCCTCAAAGTATCCCTCAAGTTGAAGCAGTATTTGGCTTCAGCATGAACATGTAGTAGAGTAAATTAGTATGCCAAATGCAAACTCCAAAATTCTTACCGCAATACCCATAGTAATCAAGCTCCCAAGTTTCTCGTGATTTTAATTAAGCAACAAAATAATGCTCTTATTTTGACGCAAAATGTAATCTCATCCTTGCTAAACTTATTATGCTGTGGATTTTCCAGTTTTCTTCGTAAATTCGGTGAAAATTGTCTGCCGGTTAGCGTTTTTCGTTTCCACAACATGCTGAATTAATTAGGATACGGTCGGAAAAATGCAAAGCTTTCACAAAATGTTGTGCTTCAGGTATTTTTTGTTTATTGTTAGTGTATGGGATATGTCGAGCAGCTCCTGGGTTTTTTTTTTTTTTTTTAATGAGGGGGGAATGCATTTACGCACCATACCATAGCACGAGCTACGACGTGTGTGGGGCTCCAGGGTCTTGAAGAGATCACCTAATACCCACTAAACCCTAAACCTCCGCGTGGCCCGACTCATCAGCGTCTCGGTAGGCCATGTGTTGTGCGTGACCTGCGGTCTGCTACAACGTCTCCTCATGTGTTTCAGTCTCTGGGAACGCCGGGTTGGTTCCCTTTACCTCGCACATTCTATCGATGTCGTTAAGCGATCATCGATAGAGGGTCTGCTAGTTTCTCTTGAAACTCTTGTTTTCGAAAAATCAAGAGTTTCAAGTCCTCTTACCAATATGTTGTTCCTGGTCCTGGTCCTGAAGGGTCCTGGTCCTGGTGGGTCCTGGTCGTGGCGAGTCCTGGTCCTGGATGGTCCTGGTCCCGGTGGGTCCTGGTCCCGGTGGTTCCTGGTCCTCTGCATCCACGCCGTGGGGGGGGGGGGGGGAGCAGCCGCAAATTGTCCTAGTCTCCTAGTCAAGGTTCCAGTTAGCGGGTGCCAACTGGGACCTTGGTCTGGGGTACCTGGTTCTGCGGTTGCGAGGCCTCTCGTCCGGATCGTAGTCCATGAGGAATCGTAGCTGCTCGTTCGGGTGGTCCTGAGCTTTCTCGAAGGTCTTCTCCGCTTTTTTCCTCATGTACTCGTGGATGGTATCCCAATGCAGGTCTCTACGCAAGGTTGAGTTCCTTACGTAGGAAGGTGCATTGGTGGCGATCCGGAGTAGCTTCATCTCTAGAGCAGCAAGTCGCTTGCGGTAGCTGGGGGCAGCGTACCCCCAGACCGCGGAGGCGTAAGCGAGCTGAGGTCTGGCGATGGCCTTGATCAGCCGTAGCTTGGTCGCTAGCGGCATCTGGCTGTGTCTACCCAGTAATGGATAGAGTTGAGCCATGGCTGCTCTGGTTTTTGCGATGACAGCTTCTATGTGCGCTTTCCAGGTGAGGGACTTGTCAAAAACGATCCCCAGATATTTGACATTGTCGCTCCACTGGATATCTTCATCGAAGATGGATGCTTCGAGAGGTCTTGCAATCCTTCTTCGTTGAATGAAGATTGCCTGCGTCTTCTGGACGTTGATGCGGATTTTACATTTCACGCACCAGTCCTGAATTTGGTCCAGTTCATCCTGTAGCCTCCTACGGATGATCTCGGGTCGTCTATGCTTGGCGGCTATAGCAGTGTCGTCTGCATATAGGGCCAGCATTGTGTCAGCTGTCTTCGGCACATCGTAAGTATAGATGTTGTAGAGCAGGGGGGCTAAGGCTGACCCCTGGGGCACGCCTGCTTCCAGCTGTCGTCTTGTTGAATGGCATGTACCAATCTTCACCGTGAACCATCTTTGTGTTAGATAGCTCTGGATCAGTTGGCACATGTTCGCATCGATTCCGGCGGCTTCCATTTTGGCGATGAGTCCATCGTGCCAAACTCTGTCGAAGGCTCGTTCCACGTCCAGCAGGACGAGACCGGTTGCCTCCTGTAGATTGAAGCCGCTGGTGATGTTTTCTGTCAGTCGTAGCGCTTGGAGTTCCGTGTTGTGCGAGGATCTGAAGCCGAATTGCTCTGGGGGGAGAAGTTGCAGTTCTTCTGCCTGCTTCTCTAGTCGAACGGCGATAGCCTTTTCGACTACTTTGCCCATCGAGGAAACCAGGCTGATGGGCCGGTAGTTCTGGGGCAACTTCCGGTCCTTGCCTGGCTTGGTGAGCATTATAACCTGGGCTTCCCGCCACCGCCGCGGGAAGTGGTTAAGTCTCAGGGTGGCATTGGCGATGTTGGTGAGCGCAGCAATGCCTTTGGTGGGAAGGTTCTTCAGCATCCTGTTGTTGATGCCGTCCCTTCCCGGCGCCTTTCTGACCTTCAACCTGCGGATGATCAGACGGATTTCCTCTGGACTGGAGGGGTGATCCGTCTCCTGGCCAGGTGGTCGACTCCTCATGTTTTCGGTTGCGACTTCCACGGCCTCCTCGTGGTTGTCGTCCTCGTCTTCATGGTAATTGAGTCTGCATTCGGATTCTAGCGAATCGGCGAATGCTTCGGCTTTTTCTTCACTGGAGTAGGCCAAGCCGCGTTGGCCGTGAAGAGTGGGGATCGTGGTGCGCTGACGACGAAATTTTCGCTGCATAGACTAGGCCGTACCATCCTGGGTCTCTAGTTCTGCACAGGCTGCATTCCATCTGTTGTTTTGGAGTTCCGCGAGTGCGTTCTTCAGAGCTAACGATGCTCTGTTTCGCGCAACTCTCGACTCCTCTGTCAACAGCTGGAGATGTTCTCGCTTGAGTCTTCTGTTCTCCCTGATCAGGTGCCTAATATGGTGCGGTGCTGGACCATTTAGGTGTCTAGGAACTGCCGTAGTCTCGGAGCGGGTGCTGTCCTCGTGCGCTCGCAGGACAGCATTCTCCAGCTCCTCTACTGCGTTGTCCAGTTCCTCCGCTGATCGGATGGTTGGAATTTGAGTGATGTTCCTTTGGACGTTGGATTTGTACAGGTTCCAGTTCGTCCGTTTGGTGCTCAAGCTATCTCGAGTTCTAGACCCTGTGCCAAGTGTTAGTAGAATCGGATTGTGGTCCGACGATCCTTCCACCAGGGTCTCTATCTCGAACTCCTCTCTGATGTTGCGGAGGATGGCTATGTCCAGTACCGCAGGTCGCCCAAGGTCGAATGGAATGTAGGTTGGTTGCTCCGGACCGACGATGACCCCCGCCAGGGCATCGACGTGTTCCTGGAGCTGCCTTGCATTCCTGTCTTCGACGTTGTTGTTCCATGCCGGAGACTTGCAGTTTAGATCTCCGATGACTATGCGTGCTCCTGGGTCTCTCAGGAGGTCAGCGATGTCATCTTCGTCTAGGGCCTCCCCTGGTGGCACATATAGGGAGGTGATTCTGTAGGGACGGTGGTTGTGATGGACCTGGACCGTGATTCCGTCCCCATTTATGTCTGCGGCATCGTCGAGGACATGACTCGTCAAGGTACGTTTGACGAGTAATGCGACTCCTCCACCTCTGCCCCTTCTGTCGTAGCGGTACGTCTCGTACCGCGGGATCGTCAGACTATGGGCAGCATCCAACTTCGTTTCTTGGATGGCCATCACCT